GAAATGCATGAGTGTGTGCCTTTATCATTTTAACACAAAAAATTAACATTTATAAAAAAAATTGTCAAGGTAATATTTATAAAATACTAAAATTTTGATATGTCAACAAGGTCCAACAAAATGAAACCGAGCACTCTTTGTTTTCCAATCGCATAGGTTGGTGCGACAAGCAGGCATTAACACAGCAACAATGCGAGTGAATCAAAATGACGAAATGGTGGAACGAAGCCAAGTAAAAATAATACAAACTACTGAGAATTTTAGAACCTGCTACTTTTACGCCTTTAAAAAAATTTCAAGTCATGAATATCGTAAGATAAAGTATGAAATTTCTACATGAGATACAAATTTAACAATAAAACAAATAATATAAGGATTTAAAAAAAAGTTTCACTGTAACATTTTAATAAATATTTTCTTAGTCTTCTTCTCAACCTACTCGTTCTTTTTCATGTTCCAAAACGATAATTGACTGTAAAGATGAAAGGAAGATAAATGAAAAATTTGAAGAGGAAATGAAGAAAAAAGAAACAAAGAAATATAAAAAAAAACAAAGAAAGAGTAATGAAAAATAAAGAAAAGAAAGAAAGGGAGAAAGAAAGGAAATGACGGATGAAACGGACAAAAGAAGAAAAAGAAACAGAAAAGAAAGAAATGAACTAAGATGGAAAAAACTGAGAACAAAGTGAAAAATGAAATACGAAAATGAGAAAAAAAAAGTTGGAAGTGAAAAAGAAGAGATAGAGAGAGAGAAGTTAGAAAAAATGTGAGAAAGAAGAAACGAAATGAAAATAGAATAATGAAAAAAGCAGAGAAAGAGAGAGAGAGAGAGAGAGAGAGAGAAGTGAAAAAAAGTGGGACAGAAAAACGAAAATAGAATGATAATAAAGAGAGAGAGAGAGAGAGAGAAAGAAATGAAAAAAAAGTGAGAAAGAGAAACAAAAAAAAGAATGACAGAAATTGAATCGAGTTAAAATTCCAAAAAAACGTGACGTATTGCATGAGAGGCTTTTCATTATCCTGACTTCATTTTATTACGATTCAAATGATTTAAATCAAATCAATTTTTAGCAGCGAGCAAAAGTTTGGTTTTTAAACAAAGTTTTGTTAATGCCGACTATTAAAGCAAAAAGCGCAATAGTAGATATATTTCAAATGAATTTATCATTTTATAGCTTTAAAAACTTCAAATAAATCAAAAATCTAATAATTTAAAAAAAATTTCAATAAAACGATCAGTCCACTGGTGTTCATCGCATGTGCTATTTCAAGTCCACTCGAATAGTAATTTGATTAATCAGTGTGAAGTTTTATTGAGTTAGAATGACTCAGTCTCTGTTGATATTTGAATTTTTGCGGCATTTTTCCTTTCTCCTTTTCATTAGTAAGTTAATTTTCGAAACAATATCAACACTTAATTGACACCATCCAGCGGTGTCAAATTTCTTCCCAGTTTGTTGCTTTTGTTTGCCATTCATGGGACTGGGAGTTTTTTTGTGTTTACGTGTTTTAATGTTTCAATTTATTCATTGAAATTTCAAATCAAGTCAAATTTTACTGTTGTAACCAAAAATGTTATGTTCTGTGTAAATTTTAGTATCTTAAGTACTTTGAATAATTTTGAAATGTGGTAGTAAAAGTAGCAGTAACTGCAGTAACAGTAATAATAATATTAATAGTATTATTATTATTATTATTATTATTACTGCAGCAGCAGTAATAATAATAGTATTATTATTATAATAATAATAGTAATAATAATAGTATTATTATTATTAGTAGTAGTAGTAGTAGGAGAAGGAGGAGGAACAGCTGATTGATTGCTGTTCACCCAGCAATCAATGCCTGCTTTGAAACTGTTGACAGTCTGTTCAACTCCCTAGTACATCACTGCTGCCCAGTCGACAATAAATGCTGATGACATAAGTTTCATTCGGAAAATAAATTAATTTAATAATAAACTAATTTTTTAAATTTATTTTTAAATATTAAATAAAGATGAAATTACAATGAAATGGAGATCGATAAAACATTTTTAGCAAATTAAAATTAATCTTCATCAATTTCGTGCAATAACTTTTCAGAGTTTGCATAACTTTAGGTGAGTTTGTATTTTGTGTGAACTCTTGAAGAAAGTGTCATCTAATTTATAATTTTGTAGCAGGCCGATTGTTTATAGAGCTTTCATTGCTGAAGAAGCATCTTCAAAGCTTGTTAGGTGCAGCTGTTATGTGCTTCATGTTTGCTTTCAGTTGGAAGGACGTCTGGTCATTAGTGCTGCCCATTCTTATGGCTGTATCAACAATATGCGATGACTTTATAATCAAGATAGCGTTGGACTGTGTGGCTCCTCAATTAATACAAAATGTTTTTACTGCAAATCTATTATGCTAGTTTCTTGAAATTATAATTTATAAAGTTGAAAAATTGTTGTCATTATAAAAGGTATAAAATATTGTATTAATTATTGAAATTTGTTTCTTGTTGTTTCTAATCGTTTGTTCAGATTTCAAACATAAAAACAAATTATGTTAGAAATACAAATAATTTTCATTATGGCACACAATTAAAAGAATTCTTTAGAATAAATGTTTAGTCACGATTTAGTCACGAGTCACGTATCTTCAACATTAATGAAGTATTAATGAGTAAAATTCGTGGAACGTCTATTACGCTTCGAAAATAAGTTCACAAGTTTAAGATAATGAATTTATTTGCAAATAATTTAAGTGAACCTACTTGTTGCATTATTTTATTTAAAAGTTACTGTTATTACAATTTATTGGACAGTTTAAAAATACAACAGCAACAGTTTGCAAGCACCGTCTGAATTAATATTTACCAGGGGATGTTCAAATTATCAGTTTAATTTTGTTATAAAATTTATGTTCCGATGACTGGAAAGTCGTCCCAACAAATTTTGAATTATATAGCTATTGTTTATGTTTGTTTGTTTAAGTGTGTGTGTGTTTGAGTGTATGTGTGTATTTGTGTGTATTCGTATGATTGAATGTTTGTGTGTGGAGGCATGCATGTTTATACTTGTTCACTCTGATATTTCTGGCAAAACGATGTTTAATTAAGCAAGAGAACATGCGGCGGGGATTAGCAGGGTGAAATTATTGGGTAATTTATCAAACCTAGTCTCAAAGTTCAGCAATAACAAACAGCATTTAAAAATGGTAAAATATATTGCATCGGCAGATGTAGCGATAAATAATTTTAAATTTCTATATAATAATATATTTCCTTCAAATTGTACCTATGGTAATCGACTGTTGATGAATGATTATGCTATCATCAATTGTTAAATGGAAGGTTCAATAGGGCATGTTTCCAAATAAGATATGTTTCCAGAAATTTTCCAATAATCCTCACATTTTATTGGCTATATAAATGTCATCATCAATTTTATTGATTTCGAAAAAATAAACACTCAGCAAAATTGTATAGGCTTGATAGAAAGCTGGAAATAATCAAAATTTTGTGAACCCTATTTAAGTGGGACGCTTGCTTTCACTATTCACCGTTCACCAACTGATGTTCCTAAAGGTAGTGCCTGAAGTTTATTACAATATCATAAAAAAATTTTACTTTCAAAGGACACCCTTAAAACAATGAACCACTAATTGAGCAATATGTCGATTGCATATGACATCTAACAAATCATGACGCGCTTTAAATTTTCAACCTGGTTTCAAACGCTCCACATGTTCGTAGTCACCGCTTCACTAGCATTATGGTCATCAATTCTCATCATCATCATCACCATCCTCCTTCTCCTCCTCCTCATCATCATCATCATCGTAATTTATACTGTTTTAAAATCAAACTGTGATAAATGGCTTTTTCCCTTTCAAATGAAATACTTCAACAAAATACATAGAGGAGTCTATAGCGTTCTTACGCAAACAACCTTACGCTCATTATTTCACATTTGAATGGTGCGGGGCAATAATGGTTATTATTCACCAGTTTCTAGCTAATTTCGTTCCTATCACAATAAAACTTCTTATATAATTATTTTAATACATATATATATAAGATCATCATCATATTCTTCTTCATAATCTTCATCATCATCATCATATTCTTCTTCATCACCATCATCATCATATTCTTCTTCCTCATCACCGTCTTCATCACCATCATCATCATCATCGGTGACCTCCACTTTGTTACCATCCTTGTCGTTATCACTGAACGAATATAGATGGAGTTTTTTCTGCAACTTCCCATTATCCATCACGCTCTTTCATTCGACAGATCACATCCATCCATCCACCCATCCAACCGTGACACTTATACAAATTTATACAAATCATACAAATTCATATAAATCATACAAATTCATAAAAATCATACAAATTCATACAAATCATAAAGATTCATTCCTACAATTTCATACAAATTATACCAATCATAGAAATTCACATTCACCCATTCGTCATAATCCGACGCCACGTCTAGCTTATTCAACGTCCTCCCCGCCATTCCGCTTTTGTGTCTGGTTCTCAAAATCTTTGGTTGCTTGTATGTGTGGTAGTCTGTATCTCTGGATTGCTGTGTCTCTTTATCTAGGTTTACATTCGCTGATATGTGTAGATATCTATATATGTATATGGATGCATATGTAGATAGTGTGATATGTATTTGTGTGTGTGTGTAGGTAGGATGAATGCATGTTTATTTGCGGGGTTACGTATTTGTATGTATGTTTAAATGCGTGGAACTGTACAGCCACATGCTAATTTATGCGGTTTCGTTAACTTGCAATTTGGCGTGAATAGAATTCATCATCATGCATTCATTAGATTGCTCAGTCGTTCATTCATTTTTTTCTGACGTCAATAATTCCGTCGAATATATTTACATGATTTATATTTTTGTGACTTGGATTTTTTAAAAATTTTTTTCATCATTTGTTTCGTTCCGTTTCGTTTTGTATGTATATGTTCCTCTCATGCTCAGTTTATAGATTTGGTGGGTGGAATAGCGTAATGGTTATGGCACCTGGACCTGCTTTTGCAATGATCGCATTCGAATGCAATGATATCTCCGCCTATTACATGCAACGTCTGAAATGTTTCAATTCACGTGTTTTTTTTACATGTGCCATGTGTGTGTGTGTGGTGTGTGTGTGTGTGTGTGTGTTGATATCTGAAAAAATTAATTAAGTGATAATTGTAAAAAATTAAAAAACAGCATTTCAACATGCAATTCAATGTTTTAGTACATCAACGCATTTAATTATTTTGTTTTTTATTGAGTAGCTATTTAATCATACCACAACTCATGTGACATCATACCTCAATTCATTTTACCAAAATTCATCTAACCACAATTCATCTTACCACAATTCATCTTACCACACCAATAGGAAAAGTTGTTAGCCAATTTGGACGACACTCAGAGTGAGAAGAATTTTGCAGAAGAAGAAGAAGTGAGTAGATTTATATCATTTAATAATTTTTGTATTTCAATTTTATTATCTAAAAATCAAAAACTTGGCTCCATTGAATCGTAGTTGATTTAGTTTGTCAAGGATTTGATATTATAGCCAACAAACCTAATGTGGATCGCTTTACTCAGCTGACTTTGCTACGAATCATTTATTTTTTTATTTAAATTCCCTTTAAAACATTTTACTTAAAAAGTTTAAAATCTTCCCGTCCTTGGGTTGCAGATAAGCCCCATATATGTTCGTTCACTGATAACGACAATGATGGTAACAAAGAGGAGGTCACTGATGATGATGATGAAGAAGAAGAAGATGATGAATATTTAAACAACTAGAACCTATAATTCTCCTGCCACAATGATCGTACAAATGAACAACATACATATATTCGATGGATTTGTTTTAAGTTTTGTTCTTCAGATGCTAGTGATCCACCTCTCCATCAAAGAGACAGAAGCGTGATATTTCTTTCACTATTGGTTTAATGTATTAGATCTAATTAGTACGCATTACCTCACAAACAAATACACATAAACAACGCGTCTGCATGCACACACGTTGTATAAGGGTCTGTACTATCTGTATTGGTGCGGGTATGAAGCTGTTTCCTGTCCTGAGAAGCTGTTTGTTAATTAACAAGCAGACGGACTTGATTGATGGTGAGGCTATTTTTCATTTGAACTCAGTTTGGGCAATTGTTTTCTAAATTTGTTGGCCAGTATACTCGTGTTTAGTTTAATTAATTCATTCATCCCGATTGACAAAAGCAAAATTAAAAACAGTACCTAGACACACATGAACTTCTGCTTCGCTCAAAGTAGATACACGATAACAATCTTGTGTGCAAGAGTTTTGAGACTTAGCCTGCATGCCAAAGTTTTTTTTAACTATATCGAAACAATCTAAAATTTAGTAAATTTACTAATTATTGAATTGAGAATATTTGTGAAAAATTTCAGATTATTACAAAAATTATTTAAATGTCGTTGCCATGCGAATTTGTTTGACTGCTATTTTTTTATATAAAAGTATCTCTAACTAAACATAAACCTTCAAAGTTGTCCATTTAGCCTGACGATCATACATCTCTGACCGGATGGCAATATCCGGCCAGTCTCAAACGTAATGTAAAAGTACAAATCATCGTGATTGAGTGAACTTTTGAAAAGACTGCCATTCCTTCGGATCGCAATTTGGCGTGTAGATATGAAATGCAGCCATTAAACATATCATCTTGCAATCATAACTATTCTTATCATCATTATCGTCATCATCATCGTCATTTTTCATATTTCAATTTCTTCTTTGTTTTGTCATTCGTAGGTATACATTTAAGTAAGTGATTTGCCTCTTAATTAAATTTCACCTAATAATCAAAACAGTTTTCTATGTTTGAAATAAAACCATCATCACCGTAGAATGCAGTCATCCTCTACATCATTGTCATCACTATCAGCGTCAACACGACCATCGTAATCATCATCATCTTCACATCGTCGTTGTCATCCTGTCATGTGATCTCTGCGTGATCATCGTGGTAGGAGCAGTCGATAGATGTGGCCATCATTTTAATTAAACTGAAAATTTTTAAACAAAACAATCACCATCATCATAACAATCATCAACATCATCATCATAACAATCAATCACCATCACTATCATCATAACAATCACCATCTTGTTCATCATCAACATAACAATCATCACAATATTTCAAGTGAATTGTTTGTCGCTAGACAACAGGTGTTCAAAAAATGGAAAATGTTGCTTGCGTGTGAATGAATATGCAGGGCTTTTAACGATACTTTAAGAAAGCGATACCGATAACGATACTGTAACCGAAATGCATCGCCGATATCAATATTAATTTTCAACAGTATCGGAAACGCCAATACAGATATTTTCATCAATATATTTTTAAACAAAAATTTAACACTTTTAGAATTTTAATAACCAAACTCGTAATTAATAAATCACATCACCATTTCGCCATTATAAAATCAGGAATGTAAAGGCTGCAGTTGAAAAGCTTAACAAACAACGGCGCACACTGTTCGATTTTTTACTCAATCCTTTAATAGAATATTAGTAATAATCGAGAATTGATCAATATAAACAAATCATAAACGCAATTTTTTCAATTTGAATGGTAAGGATCGGTGAAGAATATCGACAGCTCTTTAATTTATTTATTAAAAAGTACCGGCGCGATACCGGTTTTTTATATAAGTGTCGTAAGAATTTTTATTGAACTTTTATGGGAACATCAGATTGACGCAGATTAACTTGTTGAAAGATTGAAAAATAACTCGACCGACGGCATTCATTGCCTAGCAACTGTTGGTAAAGAGCGAAGATAGATAAACGAATAAACGAATGCACCCAGCGTCACGTTTACTTCGTTTGGCAATGCGCATTTATTTAATTATCTATGCCATCACCGATTCACGATGGCCAACTCCCTAGTGATTTTTATTGTCATTTTGATGGGCTGCTTATTTTAAGATCGGTTTTACGATGACTTCCGGCTTAACTAATGGATCTTTGGGCATGATTTTGCTTGCTGGTTGCTCTGAAGTATGCATGCAGAGGCGATTGTTTACTGGTTTGTCAAGGGCGTGCCATCTTAAAGACTGACCGTCTCTGACTGTTGTACGTTAAGTTTTCTTCAACAAGCACGTCATACATACGTTTGGTTTTTTTTAAATAAAATGATGATTTATTATATATATATATATATATTGTCGGAAATTTTTTTAAAAACAACTGGTGGTGAGGTAATCTTAACCCAGTGCGGACTCTCTGAAAAACTCTCGGAAATTTTTTTAAAACAACTGGTGGTTGAGGTAATCTCTTCCTCTATCTTTCTCAGGGAATTTTTTTATGGTCCGACAATAATTTTTTGTGTATATTTTTATCGTGAGTTCGACCAGTCCTGTGTGGCACTGGGCTTTTTCGAATTATATGATTTTACTGAGTAACACACGAACGCGTAAAAAATATTCGATAACAATTTTATTAATCGACGGAAGTAAATGAAAAGGAATTGAACTAAATGAACTCTATAATAATGTAAAATGTCAATGAACAAACTGGAATACAGGAATTAGAACTTCTTCTTGTTGGGTCTTCGACTTGGGATATGTTTCTTGCCGTTTAATCGTACAACCTCGACGTGTGTAACCGATGGTGATGTCGATACAACTCCAAGAAATAAATAAAATGAATGCGAACAAAATTACAAAAATCGGAGCCTATGGAAATTGCAAGCTGCGTGCGAAACTATACCAATGAATATAGGATCCAGCAAGGAACCCTAGGTCCACAAATAGCACAAGAAACAAAAGAAGGAGGCGGATTCGTTTTCACAGAATCCAAGGCCTGTTTTCACTGGGCCTGTCAGTCGGTCGGTCGGCTTTCGCACAACCCTGGCCTGTTTTCACTGTTTCCAATGCGCATAGAGTCTCGTACCAAATCCACTTTTGAGAACTTAAGACGTTTCTGAAACCATGCCAATGAGCATAGAATCACAAATTAAGTCTCTTAGATACCAGAATAGGCACTGATTACTCGAAGCTGCCTAACTGGTGAACCCAAGGCAGACTCTTTTCGAGAACTTAAGACGTTTCCGCGCCAATGAGCATAGAATACCGAATTAAGTCTCACAGATACCAGAATAGGCACCGATTATTCGAAGCTGCCTAACTAGTTAACCCAGTGCGTACTCTTTGCCCTTCCACACTCTTCTTCCAAGATAAGATAAAGAAACTCTATATCAAAGCAAAATTAGATTTGGTTTCGGGTGTTTTTTTTAAACATAAAAATTTCCAAGGTATGTCCAATTAATCAAAAAAAACTACTAATTAAATTTTAAAATAATTTGTAATAATTTATGACGTCATCTAAATTGCAAAACAAACAAAAAATCGTCTTGTCACCTATCGAGTAAATTAACTTGCACTATGCCCCCTATTGAGTGAATAAATTTTGCGTTGAAAAACTTTGAAGTATTTTTAGTCAGTATTATTTCAAATTCTGACAATATATATGTTGGTAATAGACCATATTTTTTACAATATTCTATAAATTCTACCGAATGTTTGGCGAACATTTATTAACTAACATATTAACGCCAAACATTCGGTAGAATTTATAGAATATTGTAAATATATATATATATATATATATATATATATATATATATATATATATACATATATAGTTGTTAACGCAACATTTCAAAAATTTTTGAAATGTTGCGTTAACAACAAACAGTCTGTTACCAAAAAAAAAAAATATACATAGTTGTGTGTATCTGTTTGTATAATGTCACAAGAACTCGACTGTAGATGTTTGTTATATTATCACAGGACTGATTGTTTTGTTCGAAACTAAATTTTCTTTCCTTTCTTGTGCTCGCATGTCAAGAGCAGGTTGTTTCTCTGGAAGTGCATTAAATTTTTTCTCCTTAAAAAAAGCAACGTTTCTAATGATTCTCAAATTTTATTCATCATCATTTCCATTTCCTGCACGCTGATGATAGTCACGTGCCTCCTGCTGCTGCTGCTGCGGTACCAACGTCTTTTTCTATTTGGCGCTCCTTCCATCAAATGCGGCATAAAATGAAATCTTCAATTCCATTATCATGCTAGACTCGCTCGCTCAATGTATTCCAGATGCGTGCTCGAATGCTTGCTCATGACGTTCTCATTGTTGTTTTTGTTGATGTGGTTGTTGTCGTTGTTGTTGCTGCTGCTGATGTTATTGTAGTTGATGATGTTGTAGGGTTTTTTGTAGTTGATGATGCTGAAAGAGATGTTGTTGTAGGTGAGGACGTTTAGGTTGGTTTTACTTTAAATGCTGCTGTTTTGACTGCCATTGTGTTTCTTGTTTTTTGATGTCGTTATTAGCACAATAATCCATGAAAACTGTATTAATAATATAAGTTTGGGCATGTAGCGTTTTCATTATTAAAATTCTTGTACAATAATAGTAAAGGGTGTGTTCATTCATTACATGAATGGTTGCAACTGACTAACTTCGTGTAACAATGAAAACCAACTTTTCCAGAACCATCAAATATTTGTTGTTTGTTGTTGTTGTTGTTAGCATATTTTTAAGCTATTATAATAATATTGTTTCTAATATGTTATAATAATAATAATGTTGTTTCATTAATCTTGAAACTAATAGTTCTATATCTCTTGTTGATGCGTTGTTGTAATGTCGCTTGGTTTTTTTTCCTGAGTGTTCACTCCGAATGACGTTGTTGTCCACCCACGGTCTTGAGAGAGTTTGATATGTCCATTGTCTGTTGCATTTTCTGCTCTTTCCCATCATTTACACGTTTTTATCGCAACGTGCTCCGGCGTTCTGAGGCGACTTCATTTAAAAATGGGGACTCTATTTGAGGATGTTCCACCATTCATGCATGCTTATGCGTGAGATGTGGTGCGATCAATTTTAATACAATTTGACCTGATGTGATCAGATGTAATGTAATGTCACAACATAAATGACCTGGAAAATGTAATGTGATGAAAATGTAAATGTAATGTGAAAAATGTGTTTGCTTATTAAAAAATGTCTTTGTGCCATCCGATGTGGCTGTTTTCATGCAGGCCAGTAGCGATTTGATGGCACGAGATGTGATGAAAAATAAGATTGATGAGCTGAAGTATTACATGCCCACGCAATATTTCACCATGTCATATTTGACTCGTCATTCGCATATGACATGCGAGTAAAGGGGGTTTGCTGTTTGTTTAAATACGTGTGCTTGTCGATATTCTAATAGATATTAAATAAAAATATGTTTTCACAATTTTAGAAGGTACAATTTTGTAAATCAATGTGCAAATCAATCTTGCTTGTTTTATTGCTCTAGCAATAAAAATCACACATAGTAACCATCATATAACATTGCAAAAACAATAGACGTAGTTTCTAATCAAAATAAACCATCGTTCAAATGATATAACCCTTCCTATATAAAAAATATGTTTACTGTATGTTTTTTTGCAGTATTTACACTTTTTAAAGAAAAATAACCTGATTAAATGAATATCTACTAGCATATATGCATGGAGCACAACATCTACACAATATATAATCATACCCATAACACATGCATAACACACGTGCACGCGTTCTTACATATACCACACATGTTCGTGCACAGGATGTGATTTATGGAGTAATGTGCGTGGCCACCTGGAGTGCCATGAATGGACAACACTCTGAAATATAAATGGCTCGCTGCTGAATCGGCACCTCTTGAAAATAACTTTTTATATCTGCCTGAATCAAAGTGGACAATAAACTGGCGTTATCTGAAAAACGTCCCATCAGTTTCAGTTTTCCTCGTCCAGATGATTAGGAATTTTTTTAGCGGCTGAGGTGATCATACGACGACTGTTGCGCAAGCGGTTGTTTTATTGCCGAGTTTCCCATAAATAAGGGTCTAAATGTTTGTAACAAGGCATCAATAACCGGTTCTTTTGAAGTTGTTGAAGAACGTTTGTAATTT